TCACTCATTTTAATGAAGAGGTCCTTCAGGTCGAAGAGCCTGATGAATAAGTCAGCATGACCACCTTCTTGGGAGGCCTTCGGTCATCGAGTTTCCTTTTCTCCGTGATGAAACGCCCACCAAAGAGCATGCTAGAACTATTGAAAAAAATTCAAAAAATTATGAATGCTGAGGAAATCAACAGGTCTAGGCGAGGTGAATTATCTCACGGATCTCCAAAAGCTTGGCCTACCTCTACACTGTTCTTAAACAGGTAGTTTATCTCCAGCTTAGCGGCTCTCTCTCGAGTGTCCAAAAAGCTTGGCCTACATCTATACTGCTCTTAAATAGGTAGTCTATCTCCAACTTAGCGGCTCTCTCGAGGGTCGCCAAAAAGCTTGGCCTACCTCTACACTGTTCTTAAACAGGTAGTCTATCTCCAGCTTAGCGACTCTCTCGAGAGTCGTCAAAAAACTTGCCTACCTCTATATTGTTCTCAAACAGACAACCTGTCTCTAGCTTAGCGGCTCTCTCGCGGGTCGCCAAAAAAACTTAACCCTTGCATTGTTCTCAAACAAGCAGTCTATTTCCCGGCTCTCTCACGAGTCGCCAAAAAAGCCTGGTTTCTGCTTTACTCTCAAGCAAGTAACATGTACCTCACGCTTAAAGACTCTCTCATGGATTACCAAAAACTCGGTTTCAAAAGGTGTAGCTTTCTCACGAACAATCCTCAAACTCTGTCTTGCTCTTGCCCAAGCAGTCTGTCTCTCTCTTTAGGTAACATGTTAAATATTTTAATGCTTGGAATAATATTATTTTTATCATCATAAACAGGTTCACCCATCTTAGTCGGCGACATAGAACCGTTGGGGAATGTGATAAGCAAAAACAATCCTCAGAATATCATAGAAGAATTTGATTTTGAGAAGGTGCACTGAGAGGAGCTGGACCATCACCACTGAAAGCGTCTGGCGTACTCTCCCCCGAGCTCAAGAACCAGGCTCACCAAGAAATTCCTGGGCAACCCTGCCTGCATGGGCGAGAACTGAACTCCCTATAGGGGCATCCAAAGCTCCTTGGCTGCCTGAACTCCTCGAATCATCACCAAAAGTGGCACTCAAAATTTCCTTGTAGCTTGCACTACTAAACTCAGTGCCTAGAGAGGGGTCTGGCCTCCTCTGCTCGTACAAGCGAAGTAGTCCTATAGGCGCCCAACCATTTGTGCTCGCCCAAAATGGCGCCTCTTGGTGCCTTCACGCCAAGACCAGCCTTCTTTCCACTTCCCTGCTCACCAGGATCAGCGCCCCTAGGCGCCTGATGGACCAAATCAGCACGCCTAGTGTGCAGGCCAGCATGCATGAAGACTCCAGCAGCCCCCTCACCTACTGTGCGAACTCTAGCAATGCACAGCTATGCCGCCTGCTCACTCAAGCTCTTCTCGGCGCCTTCCTTCCCATCTCCACGCCAGACCATCCCTCCTACGCGAGCAGGCTGTTCCTCAAGACGACCTGGAGTGGCGATTAGGCAATTTTTTAGCTCACCCAAGTTCCTCAAATCAGTACCCTAAAAGGTGCCCAAGGCCTTTTGCTAGCCCAAAACAGCGTGGCCAGTTGCATGGTCGCCCAGAACAGTGCCTACTTGCCCAAAATTGTGTGTTTATTCGCTATTTTGGCCATAAATTTTGCTACGTAAGTCAAAATGGGACACATTATATATCAAATTGAAGCTCTTGATGAGCTGAGCAAAAATCATTGCCATTAGTAATGAGCTTTCCAAAAAAAAAGTCCAAAAAACGTCCAGAAAGAGATGTTTTAGCTTCTCGAAGTTTTAAAAAAAAAAAATTTACCCAAGAAGTTGTATGCTCGCCTAGGAGGTGGCTTGCTCGCCAAGGAGGTGACTTGTTTGCCCAGAAGCTGGCTGTTCACCAAAAAATGCGCCTCTAGCTCCCTACTCGCTATTTTAACTGTAAATTTTGGTCTGTAATTCAAAATGGGGCTTATTATTTATCAAATCGAATCTCTCGACGAGCTGAGCAAAACTCATTACCTTTGGTAATGAACTTTTCAAACAAAGTCCAAAAAACGTTCAGAAAGAGATATTTTGGCCTTCTGAAGTTTTAAAAAAAAAAAAAAAAATTGCCTAGGAGGTTGTATGGTAGCTCAGGAGGTGGCCTGCTTGCCCAAAAGCTGGCTATTTGCCTAAAAACGCGTCCGTAGCTCTCTGCTCGCTATTTTGACCGTAACTTTTGGTCTGTAACTCAAAATGTGATTTATTATATACCAAATCGAAGCTCTTGACGAGTTGAGCAAAACTCATTACCTTGATAATGAGCTTTTCCAAAAACGTCCAAAGAAACGTTCAGAAAGAGGTGCTTTGGCTTCCCGAAGTTAAAAAAAAAATAAATAAATAAATTTTTGCTCGCCCAGAATAGTGCTCTACTCGCCTGGACAGCTGTCTGCTCGCCCAAATTGCTTGTCTAGCTCTCTGCTCGAAATTTTGACCGTAACTTTTGTTCTATTGCTTGAAATAAGGCTTATAATATATCAAATCGAAGCTCTCGGCGAGCTCTACCTTACTCATAGCTTATGGCTTTGAATAATGTTGTTAAAAGTCCAAAAAATGCCTATAAACGGATATTTTGGCCTCCCAAAATTTTTCAGTTATGCCGGTCAGTCAAAAATTCAAATTCAACTTAAATGTCCTCCTTTCTAAATTTTGTTGGATGCAGGGCATTGGGGGGCAAATGATGGGCCAGGCCCAAAGGCCTAACTTATGTTATAAACCTGGTCCGAGCTAAAGACCCAATTCCAAGAGATCCAGCTAGTTAAGCCCAAAAGAGTCTACACCCGGATAACCTTATCAAGATCAAGGAGCACATCAACAGGGGAATATGCACGGTCATCCAAGAGCCTCCTCTACGCCACCAAGGAGCATCTAGGAGCCTCACCCTCGTAGCCTAGAAAGAGTCAACCTCCCTCATCCTTGACCAAGTCCTTTGGAGAGCACACCAACCGTCACACCTCGCCCGTTGAGAAGATGATAGATCGCCTCCTCCGGATCAGCTACCTAATTATTATCAAATGGTCTTAAGCCATAATGACCGTCAGAATAGTCATACAATTACTATGTCAAACCACTATAAATTGTAAGCTCCTCTGACACTTGGGGGGCATCAAACTCATTTTGATTATAATTCTCTCCTCTCTTCTCAAAGTTTGTAATCATGTGCTCTCCCTCCACACCGGAGATAATAAAATTCCGGTAAGCCTAGTCATTCAAAGTGGACGTAGGCCACGGCCAAAACCACTATAAACCTTGCCTTCTATTTCTTTCTCTCTACTTTACTTTATTTCATGTTACTTAATTGACTAGTGGTGTGCAAATTAATTTTGTACATCATCACAATCTACATGTTCAAACAAAGAAATTTAAAGCTTGGAATTCAGCTTAAATATTTATCTCTATTTTTTTTAGTAATAGGGTGTCTAAACTTGAGGCGCGTCAAGATAAGCATCAAAAGTCAGCTCACTAAGTCTTCGGAGTGTGAGGCAAGAAATCCATGTTCAGGGGACAAGTTTCTGGCGGAATAGAGGGTTACTGTCCGGTTGTGGTCGGCCATGTTGATGAGTCTGAAGCAGTAGACAGAAGCAGTAGACAGAAGCAGTAGACACAGAGCAGTGTTCGTTGTAATCTCTCATGCATGAATTCCTCCAAAGCCAAAGGCATTCTTTTCTTTTCGTTAGAAAATCTGTCCCATTTTGAATTAAAATTAATATGACATGGGAGCTCCATGAGTCTTTTTATATTGATTTTTTGTCGTTTGACAACCTTTTTATGTTGGCTATTAACATGGATATCAATTCACGTTGATTTGGCCAAATAAAAAGTTAGACTTAAACTTGCATATCTTAAGTTTGAGTCTCCTGACCAATCTATCGGATTTGTCAACTATTTCAACGTGGAAAGCAATATGTTTCAAAGTTGACATGATTTGGGCAATGTCTTGTGAATCTAAAAAATTGAAAACTTATTCGGCAAAAGTACATTTTGATGGAAAAAAAACCAAAACCCATTCTACAAGAGTAACTATTGTAATAATCGATTTTTGGAAATAATTATATTACAATCCCACCATATTTTTTTTTCTCTCTCTGTCTCTCTCTCCCTTTCCGTTGTTCTCTTTCTCTTTTTTTCCTCTCATTTTCTCTCAACGTTACTCTCTCTCTCATTATTTTCTCTCTTCCATTGATAATTTATTTTATTTTTAAATATATAAATATTTGATTTGATTATTTTTGTTTGAAATTATTATTTTTTTGATTTTTTGTGATACACCTTTTGGTGTATTAATTTTTTGCATCAATTAGGGTATCATTTTAGTGTTTCTATTTTGATGTATCTGTTTAATATATTTCTTTCGCGGATCACTTTCTTATATTAATTTTGTGTATCAATTAGTGTATCATTTAGTGTTTTTTTTTAATTTCACTTGTATCTCTTTTGTGCATCTATTAGGAGTATCTCTTTCATGCATCTATTAGGTGTATCTATTTACTATATTTCTTTGTAATCACTATGTGCAGTGAATAATCGGTGCAACGGTGTATCTCTTTGGAGAAAGTAACGTTTGAAACCAAATCATAAAACCATGTTTGGAGTGGTATCGTAATACCTTCAACCATCCAGAACATGGCCACCATGGTGGGTCCAGTTTCTGGAGAAATTAGCCGTGTAGCTGCAAAACCGTGGCTTGACCGCAGCCAACCACATTTTAGTTTTCCTTTCTCCGAGCCCTTCAACTGCGTCATTCCTATTAGACTTGACCATAACAAACTCCATCACGCGTCCCACCCACAACTATATATACACAGCTCTTTGATCATTGTGTTCACATCCAGGTAGCACCAATCAATTAAAGCTTTATACTCAAGGAGATTCATATATTTTTATTTGTATTTTTTCACTATAATTCCACTCCGTAGATTTTTTTTCTGTTGATCTTTCATTCCGTTATATTCCTAATCATCTATCAAATGAACAAGTACACTGATTATCAGCGTATATTCAATTGTTTTGATGGAGATGGAAAAATTTCTCCATCGGAGTTACAACGTTATGTTGGGTTGATAGGCAGCGAATTGTTGCTAGAAGAGGTGAACTTGGTGGTTGATTCACTGGGCTCGGACCAAGGTGGAATATTGGGGTTGGATGGGTTCGAGAGTTTGATGGAGAGCAAGGATGAAGAAGAGAAGATGGAGGGCTTGAGGAAGGCCTTTGGCATGTATGAAATGGAGGGGTGTGAGTGTATAACGCCAAAGAGCCTGAAGAGGATGCTTAGTGGATTGGGTGAGTCAAGGAGTGTTGATGAATGTGTTGTCATGATTAATCAGTTTGATCTCAATGGGGATGGTGTCCTTAGCTTTCGTGAGTTTGAGCTCATGATGCTTGGGTGAGTCTTTGTACAAGTTTGTATATGGTTGAAATTTCAATTCATTCATTTATTTTTTTCTCTTTTTTGTAATCCAAAATAGATGAAGCCAACTATCAAATTGGTGTGTCTATTATATATTGGAACCATTGGATAGAAATCCAGACAGATAATCCCTTTTTCTTTAATTATGATTTTATTTAAATTTAATTTGTTTAGCTAATCTATTATAACTATTGAATTAGTTACGATTCTCAACAAATACTGAGATCCATTATCAATCTGATGACTATGAGTGATTAAGTCAGCAAATAAATTCAACAAATTAGATCCAACTAACCTTGCTCTTTTTTTTAATTATCAGTGACAAATGGCAATGGAGTTGAAAAATTATTATATAGTACCCAAATTTATTATAGAGAGCATCTCTACTATATGTTTACTTTCATTTTTATTCAGTGATACATTATCTACAAGATCAATTCAAGTGTTATAATAGGTCATCTCTCACCCATACGTGATGGGTGATCTATCGTAGAGTGAATGAATAAAAATATAACACCTCAATACTCGACTCAAAGAAAAAGAAACAGAGATTAGTGGTCTTTTATTCTGACAAATAACTGATATGCCAGAAAACCAATCTCATTAAGCTATTAAAATAATGCAATCTACATGTTCAAACAAAGACATTTAAAGCTTGGAATTCAGCTCAAGCATTCATCTCTATTTTTTTTAGTAATAGGGTGTCCAAATTTGCGTCGCGCCAAGACAAGCATCAAAAGTCAGCTCACTAAGTCTTCAGAGTGTGAAGCAAGAAATCCATGTTCTGGGGACGAGTTTCTGACGGAATAGAGGGTTCCTGTCCGATTGTGGTCCGCCATGTAGATGAGTCTGAAGCAGTAGACACAGAGCAGTGTTCGTAGTAATCTCTCATGCATGAATTCCTCCAAAGCCAAAGACATCTTTTTCTTTCCCTGTCCCATTTTGAATTAAAATTAATATGACTGAGTTACATGGGAGCTCCATGAGTCTTTTTATATTGATTTTTTGTCGTTTGGCAACCTTTTTATGTTAGCTATTAAAGTGGTTATCAATTGGCGTTGATTTGGCCAAATATAAAGTTAGACATAAACTTGTATGTCTGAAGTTGAGTCCCCTGACCAATCTATAAGATTTGTCAACTATTTCAAAGTGGAACGCATTATGTTTCAAAGTTGACTTGCTTTGGTCAAAGTCTTGTGAGGACAAACCATCCAAGCAATAGTTTTAATTCAAAGAGTAATATTATTTGAATTTAAAAATTGTAAAAGGGTAATAATGAAAATTTATTCAGCATAAGTACATATTGATGGAAAAAAACCAAAAACCCATTATGCAAGAGTAGCTCTTGTAATAACTTGTTTTTGGAAACAATTATATCCAAATCCCTCCATATTTTCTCTCTCTCTCTCTCTTTCCCCGTTATTCTCTTTCGCTCTTCTCAATTTTCTTTTTCTTTTCCCTTATTTTCTCTCACCGTTACTCTCCATCTCTCTCATTATATTGATAATTTATTTATTTTTTCAAATATGAAAAGACTTGATTTGATTATTTTTGTTTGAAATTATAAATTTTTTGATTTTTTGTGGCACACTTTTTGGTGTATTAGTTTCTTGCATCAATTAGGTGTATCATTTTAGTGTTTCTATTTTTGTGTTTCTGTTTGATATATTTCTTTCGTGTATTGCTTTCTTATATTAATTTTGTGTATCAGTTAGTGTATCATTTTAGTGTTTTTTTTTTGGATTTCACTTGTATCTCTTTGGTACATCTATTAGGTGTATCTCTTTGGTGAATTTATTAAGTGTATCTATCTGTTGTATCTCTTTGTAATCGCTATGTGCAATGAATAATCGGTGTAACGGTGTATCTCTTTGGAGAAAGTAATGTTTGGAACCGAATCAAAAAGCTATGTTTGGAGCCGTGTGGTAATACCTTCAACTGGTTTGGAACTGAATCAGAATGTCCAAACCTAGAGAATCTAGGAAATAACAACGGTTGAAGACTATACTGTGAATTGATTTAAGAATATATGTTCAAAATTCAAACGAATGAAAAATTAAATTAAATCTTTACATATTTGAAAAGAAAATAAATTATCAATGGGAGAGAAAAAAAAATAAGGAGAGAGAGAGATGATGACAGAAAATAGGGGGATAGAGAGAGTGAAAGAATAACAATAAATGTTCAAAATTCAAACGAATGAAAAAATTAAATTAAATTTTTACATATTTGAAAAGAAAATAAATTATCAATGAGAGACAAACAAAAATAAGGAGAGAGAGTAATGATGAAAGAAAATAGGGGGAGAGAGAGAATAGAGTGAGATAGTGAAAGAATAAGAATAAATGTTCAACATTTAAATGAATGATAAAATCAAATCAAATTTTTAAATATTTGAAAAAAAATAAATTGTCAATTAGTTATGCATTATTTAAGGAAGAGTAATTAAGTAATATAAAAAAAGATAAACTGAATTGTGTACGTAATAACAAAAAATTTATGTATAAGTGAACTTAATAAAGTAAATATATTATCAGTAAACTTGCTCTCAAAAATAAGTTTTAAAAAATGTACACACACCCAATTTTCCCAATAAAGTATTTCAATTTGAATGGATTGAGACTATTACTTTGGCCAATGAAATTAAAAGGCCTTAAAATTCAATTTCTAAAAACAAAAAGAAAAAAAACTAACAATAAAATTAAAGCTACTAAAAATCAAACCTCCACAAAAAGTTAAGTTCAAACTTACCATTATAATTTTTCAATCATACTCTCCCCCTCTCTCTCTCTTACAATCAAGTTCAACTATGATAACAATGACTTGAATATAAAAATTTAATTAATCTATATAATACAATTCAAATCTCAAAAGATAAACAAATTTTTTTTTTTATTTTTCGTAGTTGAGATCTCTTTAAATTTTACTTTAAAGTAAATTCGTTGACTAATATTAATACCTTAAATTTAATAAAAAAAATAAGCTTATAAGGATGTGTTTGAGGTAAGTTTTTAAAAGTATTTGTTGGACTTATAACTTCTTAAGAGTACTTTAAAAAAAAAAAAGTAGTGTTTGAAACCGTACCACCACCATTTCACTCCCACCAATATTACCACTACCACTATCACCACCATCGTCACACTACCACCACAACTATCCCCTTCACCACCACCACCACCACCATCACTGCCACCCTACCAACACCTCTGCCATAACAACCATAACCACCATAATTGTCGTCGCTACCATCACCATTACCATCACTGCCCAATCACCACCACCACTATTGCCACCCCCACCATTACCATCCCCACTACATTAAATACCACCACCACCACCACTATTGTCGTCACCCTACCACCAATATCACTATTGCCACCAACACCACCCCAACACCACTCCAGGGGTGGCTCGAGACATTTTGGGGTCTAAAACGAAAACAATAAATGAGGTATTTTTATTTTTAATATTAATAATAAATTTAATTTTTAATTTTTTAAAATACAAAAATATTAATTAAATATTTATATTCAATTTTTTGTTATCATATTTGAACTTAATGGTAAGAGAGAGAGAGAAAGAATGATTGAAAAATATGATAAGTTTAAACTTGACCTTTTTTAGGGTTAAAACTAGATTTTTTAGTAGCTAGTTTTACATTTAGTTTTTTTTCTTTATTTTAAAAAATAAATTTTACGGCCTTTTAATTTTACGGCAGAATTAATAGGGCCAATTTACTTAAGTTAAAATATTTTGTTAGGTATGAATTTAAATTTTTTGCTTGAACTATTACTGTACACCTATCAATTATGGACCTTCCTTGAAGTGGGGCTTTAATTTTTTTTATTGGACTTGTATTTTTATAAGGCCTTTTTGTAGTGACTAAAAATATTTATAGATTTATATTTTTTACTTGGATTATTTATGATATTTAAAAATTTAGGGCCTTCTTTAAAAATGGGGCCTAAAGCCCAAACTGTTTTGATAACAATGTTGAGCCATCCCTGCACCACCCCCACGATCATTACCATTACCATCATCACTGCCACCGCCACTATTTCCGTTGCTGCTACCGCACTATCGCCACTGCACTACCACCACCTATCCCACCCCCACTGCCCCACAGCCACCCCCATTACCACTGTCGTCCACGACCACCATCCACAATTATTGTCATTTCATTCTTATATTTATTATTATTACCACCATCATCCCACTACCACTGTCAACACCCACCACCTCCATTGTTGCCCACTACCACCCACACCACTCAGTACCACAACCTACCAGCACCCGTTGTCACGCACCATCGCCATCAATCATTGTCACCCATCCCCACTAGACCTACCACCATCACCACTATTGTTGTCATTCACCACCACCCATCACACAATCGCCCAGCACCATCATCGTCACCGCCCACCACCACAATCCACCACTGCCGCTACCACCACCCACACTCATCACTGTCATCACTCATAATTGTCATTATCACCGTCATCACCCAAAACCCACCACCACCATCACTGTTGTCATCCACTGTTACCACCATCACCAAGGTCGTCACCCACCACAATCATCACCGCCTCTCATTACCACCATTATCACTGCTCACACACACTATAATCGATAATTAAATTTATTTCTTTTTCTTCTATATTTGTGATTTAATTTTGGGTATGAATACAAATATATTTATTGCTGATCATTTTTTTATTACTCCATTCCTTTAGGCATGATAAATAACTATTATTTTTATATTTCAAATAATAATAATAATTTTAAAAAAATATTATTAATATTAAAAATAAAAAAATTCATTTATTATTTTTGCTTTAGGCCCAAAATATGATGGGTCGCCCTTGGTTTAGGGATGTCATTCAGTCAAGGAACATGTTTCAGTGGATTGCTTTATGTTTATTCGAATATTCTAATGTAACTGTTTGACTCAGTGATAGGGAACATTGGACCGGTAAGTAT